CCCACCCACCCACCCATGCACGCACGCATGATAATATTGTGTATCGGCTGGCGATATGACGATTTGAAAAATCACCCAACACTATTGTCCAATTATCGGTTATTGTCCATAACGTGAACATAATTAGCATCTTATCGTATCGGCTAGAATTTTTATATCAGTACATCTCAGTACATTCATATGATGTGAATAATTTTTACCATTTGATTTGTGTCTAAGTGTTGTATAATTAAATCTCATAATGAATATCCATTTTTTATATTGCACATTATAAAGTTGATGCCTAAATTCACTTAGCATTTAAATTTTTTATTTTATTTTTTTACTAAAGAGTAGAGAATTTTAATATTGTCCATTTGTCTGTTATTGACTATAATTATGTAAATAATATGTAAATAATTATTGGCCTATTGTTATCGGCCAGAATTTATACATCAGTACATTCGGTATATCTTGGTGCATCATATGATGTAAATGATTTTACCTTTTGGTCTGTGTCCAAGTTCCAAATAAGAAAAGAGAATAATTAAAATGAGTATTTAATTTGCTGAATTATCAAAGAATAGGCATTACTACATGGTTTTGTAATAATCTGTCAAATTATTTTGGGGTTGAATTTCAGACAAAACTCACTATATTGCCATAAATACTTTTACTGTAATATAAAAATGTTTCGTAAAGTACATAAAGTAATTTTGCTCACACCACCATCCCTAGCCAAAATACAGCTATCTGCTTTACTCATCAGGAATCCTTGGCGGGGGAGCAGAAAAGAAAAACCTCAAGATGCTCTCACACCTTTTCAGTCGTACAGATCATTGTGTTGTCTAGACAAGCAACAAGGTTGAACCTAAACAACAGTGTGATCATGGGGTTTTGTCCTCCTTATTGTGACTACTTATCTGGAGTGTAAGAATGCTGTGCTTTTGTTGGGCGCTTGTGCGAACAGGGGTGGTGTGAGAACACAGGCTTGTAAGAGCAGGTGGGCTTTCAGAACTTACCGGAATGACAGCATCTTTTTAACGCTGATGGAGTCTGCTTTCCGGCCTGGTGCATGCCACACACAAACACACTCTCGCCATAAACAGGCTCAGTCAAATCCTGGGAAACAATAAATAAGGGAGAAAGCTCTTTATTTTCTTTAATTTGCTCATGCTTTTACGTAGGCCGGGTGGGGTGTGTGTGCTCGCAATATCAGATGAACCAAACAAAACATCAACATGTGCAAATTCTGACCTTGTTGTATTATCCGTTGTTTGTTCCAAACACTTGTTGTGTTTAGCAAGCAAGCGTTTTGCGGGGAAAAGGCGCAGACATCTGATGATAGAGGTTTGTTTGGTAGGTGCCTGGTGGTGGGGGCTTAATCGCAGGGAATTTCCATTATATTGAAGTTTTTTCCTTAAGTCTTTGTTTTCTTTTTATTTAAAGCTGCGATAAACACTGTAAACAAACATCCATTTCTTGTGAACTCTTGCTGGTTATACATGCGTTTGTCTGTTATTTGTGTTTATATTGCATCCAAAAGCCTTTTTTGTACCAAACGCGACGACAGAAAATGACAAGCAAACAACTGCACTTTGTTATCAAAGTGAGGAGAATGCAAAGCTGGAATCATAATTATAAGACATTAAAACAATAGCTTAATTCATAAAGCCATTGACATTATTAATGCCCTTCCACCAGGTTATATTTTTCCTCCCATCTATTTGATATTAGTGATGGATAACAGGCATTTTCTTTCATCCTTTTTTTTTTTTTTTTTTTGCAGCTTTTGAATTATTCCATGGCGAAATTTAATGAGAAAGTAGATTTATGGGTTTCATTTGTTTGTCAATTCCGAAAATTAATTGGGTGTTAATTTTAGCTGTCCCTCTTCAGACGTGGATGCAGGCGCACGTGCATTACTTTGCATTCGCTGCAGCTTCATGTCTTTATTGTGGGTCACTAGTTTTGCATACATTAAAATAGCCCCCGGCGCATTCTCACGATTACTTTTAGAGTTGCCACGCATTCGCAAATGTATGCCCTTCTTTTATAATTATGAAAATTTAGTACGGAATGACAGTGCATGCATAATAGCCATTATCACCCTCTATTATGGAACACAATGAAAAAAAGGAGAGAGAATAAATGAGACAGTAAAACCTAAAAGAGACAGAAAGAGAGAGAAGCTAGCTAAACAAGCCACAGCTTGTTTGTGGGAGTACCAGGTACTTGGTCCATTTGTCTGTAATTGAAAGGGTGATTTTGAGTATGGAGTAGTTTAGTCACACAAATATATTATGTACATTGTGTATTCAGATTTTTTTTTTTGAGATAAAAATAAAATTAGTGATGAAAGGGGTTAAAAAGAACAGGGTTCCCACAGTCATTAAAAAACCTGGAAATATCAAGATTTTTTTTTAAATTGTGAATTGCAGGAATTTTTACAATTTATTTCCATTTATTATATGCAAAAAGTGCATTATGGGTAACTGCTACTGAATTTAGATTTATTTGTTAAAAGAAAAAAAAACGTACAGAAGTTGTTGCTGTTTTTGTTTTAGTAAAGTTGTTGATGTGTTGCAGTTTTTAAAGTGCAATTCAGTATTTCTGATTAATCACTTGTACGTAAGTTTGTGTCTATGTAAAATGTTTTACTAAATTAAATATAAAAACTTAAAATAAATAATTCTATGTAATTGTAATATTTTTATATGTGTACACCCACACAAAATAAATAATTTTATATGATTATAAAATAATAAATAATTTTAATTTGTGATTGTCAAATAATATATATATATATATATATTGTTTAGTAGTTGATATGTTTCAATTCATCCCAGTCTTCTTGTTTACTGTACATCAGCTTAATCAAAAACAGACAATAGAAGAGCCACAGCCCGTCAGTGGTCCAGATGGGTCAATGCCCAATGTGTTCGTCTGCGTCTGTAATCGCCTCTCCCCTGCAAACCTAGCTGAACAATTATCACGCGCCTTATTACTGTCTGAGAGGGGGCAGCATTATAAATCTGAATTCTTTTCAATTTTCACCTGCCTATGTGATTAGCACCCACTGCTTTAAGGGCATTCATTCTGCCTCATATTAATAATTAATAAGCCAAGTTAATTTACTTCTGCCCGACTTGGTCAGCTTCATTAAGATGGTCTGAAATGGGGCTACAAGGCACTCCTCACCAGCGAGGGCCACGGTGAATGCAAAAGATATAAATCTAAGTGTCTATCTTTGGATGACATGGATGGATCAGTGTGTTGAAGGAGAAAACTAGACTTTTGAGAGTAATGCAGGACTGGGCTGTTAGATGGGAAGCGTTTGGAAGAACAAGAAGGCTTTTTGTGTGTCTGAATAGGCATCATTAAAGTGTAATGTATTATTGGAAATACTTTGGAAGTACATCGGAATATTTTCAGGTTTGTTTATTTGTGTGCGGGCCCAGGACCGTGGCGTTAACTCAACACCCAGGATGCAAACGTTTGCCGAGAAGTTTTGAATTGGGAGATTTATAATCTGACCTGCCCTGTTTCCCATTAAAAAGCCATCAGGCTGTGGTTCTTCTGGGAGCAATGCAAGTAAATATATCTATTTCACTAGAACAAGTTTTGTTTGTGAGTGAGTGTGTTTTCTTGGGCCTCTCTGCTGAGACGTGACTGAGGTTGGGTTCCCATCCCATTTGCTCTTTGCTGTTTCTTCATTCTTTTAGGCGCAGCAGAAAGAAGAAAGACAAACAGAAAATGATGAATAGCTTCTTTTAAGCTCGCACCTTTTCAGCCTGTGATGTGATGAAAGATACAAGAAACAAAAGTGTTAAAGTTTATTATTACTATTATTATTAAACTAGAGTCATCCTTGCAGACAAAGCAGCACAAGCAATGAAAGATGGGAAAAGTGAAATTAAGTGGTACAAACGGAAATTGATGTTTGCTTGCAATTGTTTTACAACTGTGTTTTTTTGTTGTTGTTTTTTAAACTCCTGTTTTGTGTCTTCGCTGCAGATTTTTAAGTCATGATGCAGGAGTCGGGGACAGAGGCGACAAACGGAACGGCCAATCAGAACGGCGCCCCACCTAATGTGGAGGGACACAGAGAAGTTCAATCCAAGAGCGCCACACCTTCCTCTGACATCACAGTGTCTGACCTTGTCAACTTCCAGCAGCAGCAGGTCTTTCTTTTCATTCAGTCCATTCATTGGTCATTCATTCATTAATTAATTATTTCTTTCCTTCTTCCTTTTTTCTTTTCCTTTATTCCTTCCATCCTCTTATTTTCTTTTTCTTTTTTCGTTCGTTACTTCCGTCTTTTGTTCATGTATTAGTTTGTTCCCTCCTACTTTCATTTCTTTTTATTCATTCCTTCCATCTTTTGATATTTTATTTATGTTGTTCCTCTCTTCCTTCTTTCATTTCTTCCTTTTTTGTTTCTCAATTCAGTAGGGATGCACCGAATGTTCTGAATTTCTATACAACCGAAATTATTCGGCCGAAAATAGCAAATAAAGAATAAGCGAAAAGACAGAATAAATTGTACAGAACAATGACGTGACGCGATCAAATAGCAACCACCGAAGAGTGAGAGGTGCGCATTCTTTATAATGCAGCACACATGTCAGCAGTGTGGAAGCATTTAAAACTGTTCAAGAAAGAAGCACCAGCGAGAGACTGTTTAGTACTGCATCGCATGCCTTCGATGAGAAAAGGAAGGGGTGATTGTTGCTGGTTACTGTATGACAGGGTTCTTCAATAGGCGGCCTGCGAGAAAAAAATGTTTGGCCCATGCTAATTTCAAATAATGTGGCATGAAAATTCAAATGCAGCATCAGAAAGCTATATTAACTTATATCGTGTATACAACGGACGCGAGCGGCGCGACGCAATAAAGTACAAGAACTCGTTATAATCAGTGATGCTGTCTTGGATGCGGTGCGACACGACAAATCCCCGACAGTAAACTGCTGACTCGTTCTATTTATAATGTACTGACACAACGTTCAAATGATTTGCAATGCTTTGTCGCGTCCAGTGTATGTTAGATACGATGTGACAGCAAAAACATGGCGAGTGTGTAGAAAAGAAGAGCTAAAATATCTGTTGCTTTCACTATGGCTATAAAGATAACGCAAAATAATATTCAAACTCACTTCAGACACTTTTAACATTGAATAAAGCACATAATCATTACCTGAGATTATCACTGTCATATTTTGTATGTTGTTCCTGCCGCGACATCGCAGAAAATAAAAAACGTTCCTAAAATAGAATTCCGTGTCGCTTATTGTCACGTGTCGCTGTCGCGGGTGGTTAGGACAAAAACTACAAGGAAAAGATACTTTTTATC